AAGCAGAGAGGAGTTTCTGCAACCACAGGGGAGAGAAGCTGAGTTTGGGCTTGTTCTCCAGCTGTGTCCAGAGCAGGGTGTTCATTAGGAGCTCGGTAAACATTGCACTGAGTGGAAATAAACCACTTCTAGCTCCTATGTGGCCTTGCTTCAGTCACTACACCTTTCTGACCCTCAGCTTCTTTATCTGTAAAGTGGGGAGATAAGATCTACCTCTTAGGCTGGTTTCACCTTTTTTGTTAGCCTTCTATGTAGTTAATCTCAGCCATAAGAAAATATAGTTTTTATCCATGAACTGAATGATGTTATTTTCATTTTGAATTTTAAAAACTTAAAATGCAAAATGAAAAGGTTGTTCAATATCAGTTTGGATCATTTGAAAGGCTCAAAGATTAAAAGTCCTAACGAGGCAAAGTCAGTAGCTTCTCTAACATCATTATCCAGTAGCTTTGAGACCTCAAGCCTTTCACAGCTGCAAACAAGTGGCCTTTTGCTCGGGTGTGGTCCAATCAACCACTTGTCTTAACAGAGGCCTCTCTGGGTCCTGGATTTTCCTTTCCAGGTTTATTTTACTTCCATTGGGAGTGGTGGATGGGGTATTAGTTTGGAGAGATGGTTCTCAGCCCTGGTTGCACAATAGAATTATCTGGGGGAGAATTGCCTGGGAAGTCTGTTTATAAAGCAAAACTGGCAGCTGGGATCCACCTCCCAGAATTTCAGTTCTGAGTACAACCTACTGAGCCCAGATCACCGTGAGTGCTGTGAGGGGCACTTCTATGGAAGAGCAACTCCCTCAGCACAAACTCAGACTTTTTAGACTCAGGCCTGATTTCTCAGCAAGCCCACAGGCAGCAAGTTAAAGACGAGACTATTCCTGAAGAAAACAGAGCACTCCCTAAACTTTGTACAATAAAATATCCCCCGCACAGAGTACTCATAGGTTGATATATTAGCTAGAGTGATATTGGACTGAAAGTGGTAAAAAAAACCCAAATAACAATGGCTTAAATAAGATAGATAAGATTTTTCTCCCTCGCATAAATACAGGCAGTCCGGGGCTGGTTCGATGGCTTCACAGTCAGGAAGCCAGGCTACTTCTCTCTTTTTGCCTATGACAGTCCAAGATAAAAGCTTCAATTCAGACATCATGTTCCCATCCCAACCAGCAAGGAGGACAGAGGGAGGGGAAAAGATGTCACACTCCCTTCACGGGCACTTCCCCAAAATTGCACACACCCCTTCTGTTTCTATCTCATTGGCCACTACTGAGTCAAATGGCCATGCCTCCCTTCCAGGGAGATTGGCAAATGTAGTTGTTGTGCTGCAAAGTCATGGCCCAACTAAAAACTGGGTGCTCCTTTGTCCTTGAAAAGGAGAGGAAAAATCCTTGGAACTAGACAACACTCTGTGCCTCAGGAGGCCTCCCTCCCCCTCCTGCAGCAAGATTATAACTATTAAGTTACATGTAAACAACGTATTTTATTGGGGTCCCTCTGAAAACCACTGACATGAGGCTATTTTTCTTGCATCCCAAATTTCAGCGGCTCTGGCTCCCACTGCCCTAAGAAATCAATCCGGCAGGAAAAATATTCCAAGGGAGTTCTTCAGAAGAGCACCAGGCCCTAAATCTAATGCCCATCCACTGTGGTAGACTGAGTGACCTACACTTACGGAGAGAGAAGGGAACTGTCTTCTCTGCAAATTAATTTCTCCAGATTTATACTAATGGCAGGAGCTCTCTCTCTTTCATTCTGGAAGCAGCGCAGATTATTTTCACTGGGTCGTAAATATGTTGAACACTCGATTATACTAACCTTTTACACCAGTTGTCTTGGATGGCTGCAAATCATAGTTCAGGAGCAACTTTTGAAGATTTAAAGGGCCCTGAAATTCCTGGATGCTCTAGCTAAATACCTGGGATTAAGAGTAGAGGGTGTAGATCTTGCTAAAAAATTCATTTCAGAAGGAAGAAACTAAATCCTTTGGGCTCATTCCTGGTTTTTCTTCTTTTTCTGTTTTTATTTATTTATTTAACTCTTTACTCAGCTGAGGCTAAGGTGACAATTGGTAGTCAAACCATCTACTTGCTTTCTTATATTGGGTCAACTTTCTCTCCTCCTTCCCCAGTGTTCCAGGACCTGTGGAGGGGGCATTCAGAAACGTGAAGTTCTCTGCAAGCAGCGCATGGCTGATGGCAGCTTTCTGGAGCTTCCTGAGACCTTCTGTTCAGCCTTGAAACTGGTCACCCAGCAAGCCTGCAAGAAAGATGACTGCCCCAGTGAGTGGCTTCTCTCAGACTGGACAGAGGTGTGTATGTCCCTCAGGAGGACAGAATAAAAGAGGCATGAGTAGGGAAAGAAGGCATCCCTAACATATATGTACAAAAGGCAAAAAGAGAACAAAATAATTCTCCTGACATTATGGAATAGTATTTTTGTAACCATTTATACTACAGTGGGTAACTAGCTCCTAACTAGGCTGTAGGGACCTGAGTTATGCAGCCAGCCCTTGCCCAACAACCAGAAGCTTCGAATTGTAAATGGGGTCCTCATGGAACAAAACCAGGCCTTGCTAGTGCTGTTTGGGCCCAGGATTCTTTTCGAATGTTGGGTTCTTCTCCCTCTATCTCCACACCCTACCCCTCCTCCTGACCTCCCTGCACCTCCTACTGCCAGATGTTTCTAGTTTCTACTCAGGAAGGGCAAAACATCTCTCATTTTTCTCTTCCAAGTCACTGGACAATAAAGGACATGATTTATTAGGAAAAGAAGGCCAAGGAAATCCTGCCTCTTTACTGTATCCTGGCTCTGAAACTCCAACAACTTCCCAGCAAGAGAATTTGATTTCCCCTGTTGCCCCACATTTTGGAAGTGATTGCATCAGCACTCACCATTCCCAACTTCACCTCTTAACTTAGGGATATACTTCCAACTAACCTATTTTCTAGATAATTCTTGTCTTAATACTAGCATAAATTAATTCCTTTATGCCGTTCCAGCTCATCTGTTTTCAGCCCCTACTACTTCTTTTAGTTGCCTTCAATTCCCCCAGCTCCATAGGCTTGTGTGTCTTCCAAAGAAAAGGCCCCCCTAAATTACTGCCTCACAAGCAGATTTAGCCAAGAACAGAATCACCAGGCCTGAAGTGAAAATCTCTGTGTCAAAAGCAGGTTCAAGACCTTCCTCTGTCTTGCAAATAATCATTTGAATTGGCCCTCTTGACCCATTACCTCATTTGTATAATATACAACTCACAGTATGGAGCTGCTCCTGGTTGAAATACATCACAGAGACACTTACTTCCAGAGGGGAAAGCTGCCTATGAAGATTAAGATGCCAGCTTTTTCAACATAGGTTCTTAGAATTCTTGCCCCACAAACAGGTATTATCAACCCATATAGAGTTCCATCAGAAGGGGTCTGCTAAGGGCATTGCAGTTGAGAGTCAACCTACATTGCCATAGCTTTTGTGATTTGGCAGTAAAATTGCTGCTGGTAGTATCTTACCCCGAACATCTTAGAATAGAAGAAGGAATGATTATTTGCTCATATGTTAGAAAAAATTTGATTTCAACAGGATAAAGAATTAAAAGTTTGTAGAATGAGCATGCATATATTCAAGTATATGTGTGTGTGTGTGCGTGGACATGTTAGTGACAGTTTTTCCATGGGAATATTGATGTGGGTATGGTATTATATACAGAAAAAAATCATAACAAAAATAGCAGTGCAGGAAAGAGCACTGATGTATTTGCCAAGTGACTCTAGATGAAAACATTCTCCCAGTGGAGTACTGTAAAAGGAAGTTCCCTCCTTAGTCTGTCAAGTGGTAGTCTGTCATGAGTGGAATGCCGAGGAAGGGACTTGTGTGTATTATAATTGTTCTCCTATGTCCCTGGAATTTGTGGCCTCTGGAGCATATGGGACGCTAAGAATTCAAAAAAAGTTTTTTTCTGCCTTCAGATTTGAAAAAGAGACCCTTGTGATGAGACACTAAGGAAGAGAGACTACTGAATTGACGTCCCAGTGGTCCCATTAAGTAAAGCAGGTCTTCAGAACAGTATCATGGATAGTCAAGAGTTCAGACTCAAAGATAGGCAAATCCAGGTTCAATTCTGACCCTAACATTTACTGGCTGTATAACCTTGGGCTAATCATTTGACCTTCGTAAGCATTAGGTTGCTTATCTGTAAACTGGAAATGTTATAGTATCCACCATGCAAGTGGGAGGCTTAAATTAAATTATGTATGTAAAGAACTTTGTGCTCAGCAAAAGGTAACCCTTATGGTTAGGATTCTCTTCCATCCTTCTTATTGTCAGGAGAAGGAGAGGAAATAGAAGGAAGCACTCATCTTGACTGGCCGGACCTGGGGCCACGGGCCAGGTCTCCCACAGGCTTTGCTGGTCTTCCCAGGAGGAAGAAGTTACATTTTGGGAACTAGAAGTAGTTTGGCCTTAGCCAAGAAGTGTTATTTGGTTTTGAGCTATGTGGGTTGATGAATGGAAATTCCAAAACATTAGAGGGGAGCTGGGAATGGTGGGAAGTCATCACTGGGAATAATCTCAAGCTGGAGCCATGCTCCTAGAGCTGTTCTTGAAGGTGCCACGCTGGCCCTGTCATTCTGACGGCCATTCCCATGGCCCTCTGACTGAAAGGAGACATGCATTCCACACCCCCCACAAAACTCCCCTTGGAGAAAGGAAGACCTAGATGATCTATGGGTGTTTTTCATCCTGAACTATCTGGGCTCAATCTCATGGTTACTGCACAGAATCCCTCAGAGACAGAATTAAGCCAGAGTTTTAGACATTTCAAGTAAAATTACTTGCAGATTCTATCCTGAAAGTAAGACCTCTCAAAAGGCCATACCTCTTTTCTTTAAAAGAAACACTCAATATCCTGAAAGAGTTGACTATTAAATATTTTTAAATCATATTTTTAATGGAAGTTGCTACCCCCCCCAAAAAAAAATAATATAAAAGAAATTAAAGTCAGGGTAGACAATTTTAGAGCTAGAAGGAAATTAGAAGATCCTATAGCCTAATTGTTTTTATTTTTTAATTAAAACCATAGAACCCTTTTTTTTAACGAAATGTTACTAGGAAGCAAAAATCTAAAACAGATAAAATCAGAGCTGTTTGGTTTGAAGTGTGGGTAGGGGTTTCAGATCTCCAATGGCTGGGTCTCCCCGTCACCTCAGAAGCCCCTGAATCACTCCTCAACATAGTTATGAAACGCAGTTTGAAAATCTCTTCACTAGCGTAGCTTCCCTATTTTAGAGATTTGAAAACTAAAGCTAGAGAAAGAACTAGACCAAAATCACAACCCGATCTTCCGACCTTCAGTCTCACTATTTTTTCTACTTTTCTCCTTGGCAGCACTAAAATGACCATGCTTTTAAATTCTCAGCCTCCTTACTTACCTCCATCCCACCTGCTCCTTGGATTTGGTGTTGTAGTTTACAGTACAATGAGTGATGGGTGGAATCTGGAATCCATAATCATCAGGCGATAAAAGCAACGGGTTAGATTCTCATCCCCATCTCTTGCATCTTAAATTTCTTTCAGGGGGGGTGTGTATCAGAGCACATCACACAGAACAGTGTCATTTCAATGTGTTACCATATAAAACTCGAAAACATAGAAAATTGTGTTGCTCTTTTACTGTCATGTTTTCAAGCTAAGGTGGCACACTGCCATGACCCCTAGTTCAGACTTTTATCATCTCAAGCCTGAACTACTGTGGCAGCCTCCTTCACAGATGTCCCTGCCTCTCATCCATCTCCTACTCCCATCCCTCCTGGACACTGTTGCCAGATTAACCTTCTCAAAACACCTCTTTCATCATGTCACTCCCCTCTTCAATGACTTCCCATTGCCTCGTGGACCAGTTCCATACCTCCTGTCTGAAAATTACGGGTCTCCAATGTCTGGCCCCAAACTACCTCTCAAGCTCCTGACACTCTCAATTTGGTCCCTCTGTTCAGTCAAACTGGTTTAGTTTTGTCCCCAAGCCTGCCTTGGACTTCTACACTCAACTCTTCTACCTTTGTTCTGGAAATTTCCTTGCCTCTCATGCATATCCCTGTTTCACTATACCTATGCACACTCCACCCGTCTTCAAGACCCAGGTCAGGAAATCCCTAATGTACCATAAATATTCAGTAATTGTTAGCATCAATTTTATAATACTCACTTGTCTTATAGTTTTATATTTTTACTAAATTATTTAATTACTACTATTCCTGTAAACAGCTTTGTTGAGGTGTAATTTATTGAGGTGTGATTATAAAATTAAACATAGCATAATGTTTTTAAGATTTATACACATTGTAGTATATATAAGAACTGCATTTTTTTATGGCTGAATAATATTTCATTGTTCATCCATTCACCAGTTGATGGACATTGGTTTGTTTCCACTTTGGGGCTATTATGAATAATGCTGCTATGAACATTTATGTACAAGTCTTTCTGTGGATGTACATTTTCATTTCTTTTGGGTAGATACCTAGGAGTGAAAGTGCTGGGTTGGATGGTAAATTTATGCTTAACTTTCTGTGAGGCTGTATCATTTTACATTCTCACCAGTGATGTACGAGAGTTCTAATTTTTCTACATCCTCACCAACACTTGTTATTGTCTGTCTTTTTTATTATGGCCATTCTAATGAATATGAAGTGGTATCTCATTGTGGTTTTAATTTTTATTTCTCTAACGTACTATTTCATTTTAACAGTGCATTTAGATTTTTTCCCCCTCATTTCAATGACAGCTCCTGAGGTTAGGAACTATCTTGCACATCTTTTCTCTGTAGCATCTAACACCCCACCTCAAACAAAGTAGATGCATAACAATTATTTAATGCTTGATGTTAAAATATTATCATTTATTTGTGAAGGAAGGAGAAAGGAATTTGCATTGTCATTTCTGTATATAGTATTTAAGATATATGAGGATACTTCATAAAGTTCATGGAAAATGGATTTAAAAGATAATATGAATCTTTCCATGAACTTTTTGAAGACCCCCTCATATTATCTCATTTAATTCCCAGGCTTGCAAAATAATCATAAGAACTGGAAACAGACCCAGAGAGTTTAAGTAACTTGCCAGCTAGTGAAATACTGAGCTCAGTTTTGAACACGTGACTGTACAACTCTGCAAATTCCGTGACACTAAAGCCCAGGCCATGTAGGTAAAAACAGGCAAAGTGTCTACAGGAAATCTTAGAGTAGAAGATCTTAGAGTGGAATGTGGCTACAGTATGGGCATGTTTTCCATGTTGTTACATCATAATTAACATTTCCTTCTCTCTTTCTCAGTAACTGTTGCCTTTCCAAGCAACTTTTCTCCTATTTTAATGGGTTTGAGGATCTGTACAAAAAAATGCATTAGCTTCTAGTTCCCTACATTTACAGGCCTGTGGCCTTTCTTTCTCCCCAGTGTTCCACTAGCTGCGGAGAGGGCACCCAGACTCGGAGTGCCATTTGCCGGAAGGTGCTGAAAACCGGGGTCTCAACTATCGTCAATTCCAGTCTGTGCCCACCCCTGCCTTTCTCGTCCTCCATCAGACCCTGTATGCTGGCACCCTGTGCAAGTGAGTATGTCAGTGCTCAGGGGATGGGGAGATGGGACCCACTTAGCAGCAGCCATGGCCACCACACTGTGGCCTTCCCTAAACCCAAGACAAGTGGGCAGCAAAGCCCGGTGGAGGGCTGCAGGGCTGAAGAACTTAGCTGGAGACAGAAAAGGAATCTTAATTACACGTGGCGGGGCTGAATTCTCTTCTGCACTGGAAGAACAGTTTGCAGGGGGTGGAGCAAAGTTCACTTGCTGGCATACAGAGATCAGGAAGCTGCAGGCAGCATATTGCTAATGAAGTCTAATGTTATCCACTCTGGGGTCTTAAACTCCTCTAAACAGATTTGTTCTATTGAACATTAGTCCCCAGAGTCCTAACACTTCTGGACTCTCCTCACCGTGTGCACCAGGGCCCTGGTGCTTTGCAGGACCCAAAAGGTACACATTTAAAGGAGGACATTCTCCTTTGTCCTCTGCCTCTTTTTATGATGCTGGTTTCTTTTTTTTTCTCCTCCCTCCCCCCAATGTTTTTAATGAGAGGAACTGCCTCCCCCTCCGTGCTCCCCGTCCACCTAGAACCCCGCACCTCAGTTTCTGGGGCCGAAAGACCCAGCAGGGCAGTGTGCCGGGCGCCGGGCTGCACCTCATTAGCTCTCTAGGTTTTGATGGTGGCAGCAGCTTGCGGGTCCACAGCTGGGAGCCAGGTCCTCCCGTGAACCAGGAGGCGGTGAACGACGGCCCTGGCCAGAGCAGGCTCTAAACAGCTCTCTCCCTCTCGTCCTGTCCTCCCCTCGCCTTTGCCTTCCGTCTCCGTGCTGGCGGCGTCTCCCTCCGGCTCGGCTCGTGGCGACAGGGCCGGGGCGGCCGTCCCCCAAGGCCAGCCCGCACATCGCGGCGGCGCGGAAGGTGTACGTCCAGACGCGCAGGCAGAGGAGGCTGCACTTCGTGGTGGGCGGCTTCGCCTACCTGCTGCCCAAGACGGCCGTGGTGCTGCGCTGCCCCACGCGCCGGGTCCGCAAGCCGCTCATCACCTGGGAGAAGGACGGCCAGCACCTGGTCAGCTCCGCGCACGTCACCGTGGCTCCGCTCGGCTACCTGAAGATCCACCGCCTGCAGCCCTCGGATGCGGGCATCTACACCTGCTCGGCCGGGCCCGCCCGGGAGCAGTTCGTGATTAAGCTCATCGGGGCCAACAGCAAGCTGGTGGCCCGGCCCTTGAGCCTGCACGGCGACGACGAGGCCCTCCCGGGGAGGAAGGCCAGCCCGAAGGAGGCCCTGCAGACCCACAAACACCACAACGGCATCTCCGCCAACGGCAGCAAGGCCGAGAAGCGGGGCCTCGCCGCCGACCCGGGGAGCCGCTACGACGACATCGTCGCCCGGCTGCTGGAGCAGGGGGGCTGGCCCGGGGAGCTCCTGGCCTCCAGGGAGGTGCAGGACTCCACGGAAAGGAACACGTCCTCGGAGGAGGATGCGAACGCGGAGCAGGCCCTTCTGCACCTGCCCTTCACCATGGTGACCGAGCAGAAGCGCCTGGACGACATCCTCAGGAACCTGTCCCAGCAGCCTGAGGAGCTGCGCGACCTCTACGGCAAGCACCTGGTGGCCCAGCTGGCCCAGGAGATCTTCCGCAGCCACATGGAGCACCGGGACATGTTCCTGAAGCCCTCGGAGCAGAGGGGTCCCCCCGTGGCCATCCCGCCTCACAAACACGTGTCTGGCTTCAGCAGCTCCCTCAGGGCCTCATCCTCGGCCGAGGCGGGGGGCGGCCCTCGCCGGCCACACCGCAAGCCCACCATCCTGCGGAAGATCTCCGCGGCCCAGCAGCTCTCGGCCTCGGAGGTGGTCACCCACCTCGGACAGACCGTGGCCCTGGCCAGCGGGACGCTGAGTGTGCTTCTGCACTGCGAGGCCATAGGCAACCCAAGACCTACCATCAGCTGGGCCAGGAATGGAGAAGAGGTTCAGTTCGGCGACAGGTGAGCCTTGCAAATACCTGGGCTAGGAAGGGATGGGAAGGAGGGGAGGGCACAAGGGGCCACGTCTTGCCCAAGTCATGCTATTCATATGTCCTTCTAGGTGTTTCCAAGGTTAGAACTTAGAGCTCTGGGCTTTGAGGATCACATCCTGGGTTTCAGGTCCTCTCTCAGCACTGACTGTTGAAACACAACAAGCTATTTTTCTCTGAACTGCATGTTCTTATCTTTATAAGGAAATAACAACCCTACCTACCTAGCCCCATCCTCATAGGATCCTAAAGATGAATGAGGTGCTCTCTGGATAGCTTTGAATTTTTGGCAGAAAGATATCATTCCAGGCCAAGGCATTATTATCTTACTAGTTTGTGAGATGAACCACTGAAAAGCTGCAACATCAGGACATTGTTTCCATGTGTGCGGTCCCCCAGGACTGGGCAGAGCATGTGGCCAGCACCTGCTGCCCCCACAGATGAGCCTGTCCTGTGCCTGAGCTGGACAAGGCTATTTATTCCAGGAAGCTTTTATTCCCAGTCAGACCTGTGATTAATTATCCTAATATCTCTTGGTGTATCTGTTTCGATGTGTCATTATCAGTACAACAGCACTTACTGTTCTCCTTGGGCTATAGCCATTCATAATATAAAAATCAATAGAGGTAGTAGAAGTAACAATAACAGTATCTGAGACCACTACCTATGTGCCACGCACTTGCCAAGGTTTCTACAAACATTGTTGTCTCTTTTCATCGTTACAGTAGCCATGACACCAACAATGATAGTTGGCATTAATTGAGTAGTGATTTTGTACCAGGCAAACGTAAATTCTTTATGTGCTTTATCTCACTGAATCCTAACAGTAGCCCTGAGAAGTGCTACAGTTTTTATCCACACTTTACAGAAGAGTAAACACATAAAGTTAAGTAACTTGCTAAATGTTATGTTTATTAGGTGGCAGAGCTAAGATATGTGACAAAAATAAAGTAGTCACTTAAAGAATTATAGAACCACGGTTCTCTAGTCTAGATTTCTCATTTGAACCTTGTGTCTTCTCTGAACCTAATGCTCTTTTCATTCAATCTACATCTAAATACCACTGACTAATCCTCTTCTCTAGTTTGCTAGCTCCAGGTAAGGAAGAAGAGAAGCCAGCGTTTATTTTACCGTGCACTATGTCAGGTCTATCTGTAAGTAACTGCATTCGTTATTGTAATAGTCAATTCACAAGACTGATGTTATTCTAGCTTTACATAGAAAACTGAAGTTCAGCAGCTCGCCTAAGATCACCCTTTAGTAAGAGCTGGAACAAGGATTCAATATCAAGTTTATTTGGTTCCAAAGCGCAGTTCTGTCTACTCTTCTGACACTTCTGTTCACTCATGTGAACCAACATAACTTTTGACCATCCTGTCCACGTCTTTTGTGCCTTTGAAATGTCAATAACATTAGCTCTCAGACTTGATACTTTTTCTGTGTGCTCTTACTATATGACAGACACTGTGTTCAATGTTTTATGGAATTATCTTATTTAATCCTCTAAAACAACCCTATGGGGCAGGTACTATGATTGTTACTACATACTAGGTAGGAAAACTGAGGCACAGATGTTGAGCCCACAGAGAAACACAAGACAGTGTGACCCGCAGGCAGCACGCCCCGAGAGCCTGTGCTCTTAAACTCTCTTCTTGTTTGCTCTTCAGTCCTCCCCAGCTCATACTCTCCTTGATCAACTTACCTGCTGTGATCCCTGTAGTTTTCTCCAAAAATCTTTACAACATGGTCATACAGACTGCATTCATCTCCTTCGAGGTCACTGGCAGCTCCAGTGTCAGGCCCCAGGAGGATGGGTGTTGGCTGAGACTGGTGCCCTGGAACTCACTCCTATCAATGCACCTGGCCTACCTAGTGCCCACATTATGCCGTCCCCTCCACCAGCCAGTCAGTTTCTCAAGTGTAGGTACCAAGTTTCATTTATATCCCCTGGGCCTATTTCCCAGCATTGGTACTATTGGGATTGAAGGGAATCACAGTTGACTGTGTGAGGAAAAAGATGGGAATCAGCATGTCTGGACTCCATGCTAACTACACTGCACCCCATGCTGGGAACTTTCATAGCCATTATCTTCATGAATGTCCCCCAGAAGGCATACCATACAAACTGTTATCCCCATTTTAGAGACGAAGAAACCAAGGCTCAGTAGTTGAAGAACTGGACCAATGTTAAATAGCTAGTAAAAGGCAGATCAAGAGGGATCCAAACCCAGTCCTGCCCACCCAAGCCCACGATGTTTTGGGTGCACAAGTTCATGCTTGGGTGCATCTCCCATGCTTCACTAGGGATGCCAAGTTGCCTCTAGACCCTTGCTGTCTTCCACCAGCTATCTTCAGGATTTCTTCCTTTCAATAGCCACTTCTTCCTCCTAAAAGCTGTAGAACAGACAGGGCACTGGGAAGGGGGTCATCAGGACTCGACTCTGCTTTTGACTGCAGAGAGAAAATTGAAGCTATGGCTTACTCGGACATCTTGATGATTTCCTTGAGTGCTGGAGACTTTTTATGAGTTGGCTGCTAGGTCACCTGCCAACTACAGGACTGATAGGGAAGCAGCTAGACGGGGATCGAGGGGTTCAGACTGACCTTGCCAGGGTCCTAACTTTTTGTGGCCTTCGTCTCTTCATTTTAAAAGTGAGGGGGTTGGGCCAGAACATCTCTGAGGTCCCTTCTACCTTATTCACTCATTTACAAAAGGCCACGGAAGGTTAAAACCCATATGTTGATGAGGTGTGGGGAGATCCTTGAGCACAATAACTTAAAAATTGGTTGTACAAGTTGTTCTTGAGTGCTCCACAAATCAGAGTTCAGTGATTACATGAGTTTGAGAAGTGCTCACCTAAAGCTAAACAGATGTATTTACTGCTGGATTTTATGTCTATTTTTTTAATATAGCACTTGATTTTTTATTATAAAAGTAATAAAAGGGCTATAAAACAATTCAAATAATATCTAAATCTGTAAAGTAAAAAGTGCAAGTCTTCCTCATCCCTCCAATTCTGTTCCCCAGAGGATATCACTTTTAATATTTTGGTATACATCTTTTTAGAATTTTTCTATATTTTATTGTATTATATAAAATATATATATACACAATGGGACTTGGGTTTTTAAATGGGATATTAGTCATGTTCAGAAATTTGACTCAGTTTTTACTTACCAAAATGACTGGGAGACTTTCTCGTAATAGAAGTAGAAATCTATACCCCATTTTTAAACAGCTGATTACTGTTCCTGATGCATTTAACTAGCCCCCAGCTGAAAATTATTTGGGGTTTTCCATTTTTGTAAAGTCTTTTAAGCATTCTAATGTGTGTTGTGACTTTACAAGTGGACAGTGTAGTCTGCAGTGTTTTCGAGGTATTCCTTTGATCACTGAACAGGTTTTTTGGCTTAATAATCTCAGGAACACCAATAATTCTTGAAACAGCACTTAAAAAACACTACTTTAGCTTTTAATCTTCACCTAAATGGGCATTGAGAGTCTAACCCCAATGGCTTTAAAGTGGAGAAGGTTCACCAGAATCTTGCTAGAAAGAGAGCCATGGCAGCCAGGTGCTAAGGATACTGAAGGTGTTGGGCCTAAGACAGCAGAGGGCAGGTGCTGCATTTTCAGTCATTCAGGACTTTGGTTGGGGGTCAGGGGTAGTAGTAACAGAGAAGGCACCTGAGGAGCATGGACAAACAGTTTTTGCCACCATCAAGAATTTTTTTTCCTAGACAAATCTTTTCAATGCAAAGTCAATGGCATGCAGTAGGGAAAAATAACAAATTTCCATTTCTGATCTTTGACATTATAGTTTTTCCATTTTACTTGGCTGGCTAGTAAGAAATATGGCTGGAGCTTAGTTTTCTATACAGTTTTTCAAGGTCCATTTGAGAAAAGAGTGACTGTATCTGCACAGAGCATGCAGGAGGCACAGAGCTGCCATTGGGACTGCTTTGCTATGGGCTGTTGGTGACCTCTTCTGTGTTGGGTTTCATTTCTTGTCATCATTACTGTGCTAGTCGCAGTTCAGAAGTGCTCATTTATTTTCAAACAGAAAAGTGCTGAAATGCCAGTGTTATAGTTCAGTTAGTCTGTTTTTGCTTAGGGGCCAAATCCACCTTTCTGAGAGTCTGCAAGATTCAGCTTTCTGTCGGTCTATAGGACTTTGCAGTTTATTAAAGTATGTTATAAATAGTCTGGACCAGCAAGAATAGGTCAAGGTAGGAAGAAAGTGACTGAGTGAAGTCTGTTACTTCTTTGGCATTTTTAAAAATGCCAAAGCTTGATTTGAAAAAAATTAGTTTTATGAAAGAATCACTAACATTTCAGATATACTGCAACTCATCATACATATACAATATACTAGTTGAAATGAATTCATGTGACTCTCAGAAGCATAAGTCAACTTCGCAAGCAGTAGTTTACTGTGTTTACCTGAGTGTATTATGACAGGCCAAGTCATTGTAATCCCTCCTTCCTTTTCTGCAAACATTCCTATATCTACTCTGAGCCAGACGCTATGTTAGATACCAGGCATGGAGGAAAAGAAGACTCATTCCCTGTTGATGAAACTCAAATTCTAGTTTGGAAGCCAAAGAAGTAAACTCAGTGTTATAAGTGCTAACAGAAAGGTATACATATTTATTCATTGCAGAATTATTTATTAGCTTACCTGTTATATGCCAGATACACATCTACTCACTGGGAATATTGTGGTGAACGAAACAGAAGTCTGTGTTTTCTTGGAGTTTACATGCAATGAGAGTTTTGCTAAATGGTACACATCAGAGAGGCCTTCCCTGACTCTCTGTCTGCTACAGCACCCCTCTTCACTTCTATCCCTTTAACTATATTTTATTCATAAAACTTATCATCATATGCTGCATTATTTGTTGAATTCCTGTCCATGAGGGTAGAGCCTTTCTTTACTGCTATATCCCCAGTTCTGAAAATAGTAACTGGCA